TGACTACCATCTGGGGGCGGGCTGCACAGTCATTCTCACGCAGAGCAGAAGTATTACTTTAAGCTCCGCAATCCCAGAGAATCATAACGGAAATATGGAAGTTGATAATGACAAGTACAAAAGAAAAGATAAAAGACGTTTTCAGAACACGGCAAGTGAGAAACTCTGCCAAATACAGATCTGGTCTTCAAACCCTGGCAATATCCCACAGAATTTATTGACTTTAAAGGGCTCCTGACAACTTTAATTTCACCCACTTGATCTGTGGCGAGCTCTTCGTAACTACCCTGACTTTGCCAAAAGGTGTCTGGGGCATTTGGATTCCTCAGTCGAGGATTTTAGTTCTGAGACAGAGTCTGGCAGACATTGAGCCAGGCACTGGCTGTTTTAACCGCATTGCCTGTCACTGCTCACGACATAAAAAAAATCACAATGTTGAAAACACCATCTGCCATGGGAATTTTGTCCCTGTAAGGAGGTATATGAAGGAAATGCCCACTGCAGTGTCTTGTGTGTGAACATAGCTCATCTCACCCTGTTAGGTGGGAGCACGGAAAGAAGATCCCATCCTTTATTTCATGCAAGCAAGCGGTGGGAAAAAAGTTTGTTGAAAGTTGAGAAAAGACCCCGTTATCTGCGATTCAGCTGAAAGGGACTGAGTTCTGCAGCTCAGTTCTAGAGGAAATCCAGGAGAGGCTGAGTAGGTGCTGTGTTTCACAAAGCCCTCAGTTCGGAATTCATTTAACCACACACTTCAGCTTCAGTTCAGGGCTACTTAACATAGAATCATAGGATCGTTATGGTTGGAAGAGATCTCAAAGATTATCAGATCCAACTGTATACCCGATGCCACCATGCCCACTAAACCATGTCCTGAAGCATCACATCTAAACGTTTTTTGAACACCTCCGGGGATGGTGACTCCACCACCTCCCTGGGGAGCCTGTTCCAATGCCTAACAACTCTAACAGTGAAGAAGTTCTTTCTAATATCCAGCCTGAACCTCCCCTGGCACAACTTGAGACCGTTTCCTCTTGTCCTGTTGCTAGTTACCGGGGAGAAGAGACCAACCCCCACCTCGTCACACCCTCCTTTCAGGTGGTTGCAGAGGGCGATCAGGTCTCCCCTCAGCCTCCTCTTCTCCAGACCAAACACCCCCAGCTCCCTCAGTGCTCCCCATCAGACTTGTGCTCCAGACCCTTCACCAGCTTTGCTGCTAGTGCAAACCAAGTACTTACCACAACACGGCTGTTTTAAATTCATCACTGCCCGAGAGAAGAGGCTTACTCTACCCCTGCTGCACTCAGTAGATCTTTTGCTGTCAGCATTGACTAAAACATTAAGATAATAACTGATATTTTGAAGATTCAGCCTGAATTTGCAAGGATCATCTCTCAGATTTCCAAAAGTTGCTTCTATGATGAGACAGAAACTTCTCAGGTCATCTGAAAGAAAGGCTGATGGGGAGCAGAGCAGGTACAGATAGTCGTAACAGTGAGGCCAAACAAGCCAGATGCAAGGCTAGCAGGCAAACAAAAAGGTAAGACTGCATTTTTCATGTGAGCCTACAGAGGCTTGTTTAGCAGTTTGACTCTATGCCAAATAGCTCACTGCACCTCTGAAAAAATTGTTTTACTCTAAAAAAGTAATCTGAAAGATCCCTGGACTGCAGTCAACTTAATATCACACATATCTGCATCTTCAAAGCATTCTCTTTGGCTCAGCACAGCAACAGAAGCATAACTATTAGTGGTTATTTCAACCTTGAGGTAATTGGATGCCCTAGTACCTCACCCACTAAACAAATACATTGACTTTGATGTCCCTTTAGTATGTCACAGAAGAGAAAAATAAAGGCCTTATATTTAACGGTGTGAAAGAGATTATTCTAAAGATTAACATTTTCAAATGAGTGCTAAGCATAAAAATAGTATTCGTAGCACATTCTTTCAGCTCCTTGCTATGTTTGAAATACAGCATCTCTGATGACAGAGCTGACTTGTCAAGGCATTTCCCTACCAATAGGGAAATCTTTTTGATTATAGCCAGTTATTCCAAAGATACTTCACCAAGATGGACTTGATCATGATGGCCATCCACCCTGCAAGGCTTCAACCCAAATCACTGTTCAACCTCTATGGAGTCATATGAGAGACGAGGAGTTACAATTCATTGGATGCTCATACATCATACTGCGGCTTCAACTAAAGTTTGAAGGGATGCACGAATAGCTGCGATTACTGCTCTGCAGGTCAGAATATATATTTTTTTGCAGCACAGTTCCAGTCTCTGTACCTGTAGCTTGAAGTATACCCTAAACTCCACGTGCTGCTGGGCAGTGGTTGAACAGGAAACATCACTTCTCGGTGTACTTGTTCCCCAGCCCGATTATTTCAACCCTACCACCAATTCCAAGGCCATTCGTGTCTGTAGTAGAAGGCGGAACTCGCCTTGACCATTACGTCCTTTTCTATTTTAATGGTAAGGAATGGGATTCAGGTAAATATATGGGCAGAAAAAATCCTACTTTATGAATCAGTCTTAATATAGTGGGAACACTTTAAGGCTTATTCAGGCAAAATGTCACAGCAGATGTGATAATTCTACAGTAAACCCTTGATATAGCAACACATGTGCTCCCATTGAAATTCAAACATGGTAATTTATTTATTGTCTTAATCCATACATTTGAATGTGTATGAGCAAGCAATGCTTCCGTGTCAATCTCAACTCTCTTCTTTCACATACCTAGAGATGCTAGATATATTTTAAAGTTTAATAATGAAAAATGTACCTTGGTACTTGTTTTAGTCTGCATTCCCTTTGTTTATTCCTAAGATTACATGGATCATATAGAGTGTTTGACTAAAACTTATTCAAAGAACTCTTTTAAATAAAGTTCTATTTGCAAATTGTACCAATGACTTTGTACAGACATATATATGTGCATAGATATGTAAAAAATAGAAAACACACAGGAAAATTTCCACTTGATACATTTGAAAAATATTAAGATTTGGAAAACGTTAAGACATCTGGGTGTACAGCACATGTAAACCATTTTGTGGTGAAATCAGAAGTGATGAATTGCACATTCGCTGATATCAGCTACAGTTTAACAAAGCCAGCTCTTTCCTTTTCATCATTATAGCTGATGCTTCAGCAATAGGCTTTGATTAAAAAAAAAATCATAAAAACCCAGTCCATGCCTTAAAAACATTTGTGTACAGAACAATAACAGTAACAATACGTGGATTTAAATGAGCTACAAAAAAAATCTCAACAGAAGCAGAATTGTAACACACCTATCGTTGATCATAATACCAAAGACATTGGGCTGCATTTCACATCTGCCAATATTAATGACAAGATATTATGATGATACTAATGACATGATATTAATGACATGATATTAACAGCTTTAAGGTTGTGCAGCCCTGGAGTTCCAGACCCAAGATTATATATTATATCATTTGCATACAATTATATTCCTTAGATAACCATATTGCCCAAAATCAAATGCGGACATTTTCAGTATTTATGTGCAGCTCATGACCCATCTTTCATGTAAAGCTCCATGCCAGGGAAAACCTTACCCAGAAATTCAGGGACATTTACTGTAACCACAGCAGCAGCATATTACACAAAAACAGAGATAATCACACTGTCTCACTAAATGTAATGTCATTGTCTAAATTGGGAGCTTTATCAC